AAATGGGGAAAAAGGCGCGGCTTATAGTCCGAAAATTACGGTAATAATCGCAATTACAATTATTGACCCAAATAATCGAGATTATGATTTTTGCCATAATCGAGCAGCCCAAATTTATATTCAATTTAATATTCAATCAATCAATCAATCAATGTTGGACTTCACAGTTTGTACAGAATATCAGTATGACAATATGACACCCTCTGTCCTTGGACCCTCACATCGTACAAGGAAAAACTTCGAGAGAAACCCACAGTTTAAAGGGGAACATGGGAGAAACCTCAAGGAGAGCTACAGAGGAGGGATCCCGCTCCCAGGACGGACAGACGCTANCAGTTTAAAGGGGAACATGGGAGAAACCTCAGGGAGAGCAACAGAGGAGGGATCCCTCTCCCAGGACGGACAGACGTGCAATAGAAGCCGTGTGTAAATTGAAAAGATAATACATTTACAACATAGGTAGACCAAATGTTTGGAAATGCATGTGTCTGTAATAAGAAGATGAATCCACGAGGATGTCAACATTCCTGTGGGAGCCATCAGGGAAGTAGTTTGATGAGAGTCAGGCAGGACCGCAGAGACATGTTCTGTATCACCCTCTTACATTATACATTTGCAGGTGGCTGAGCTGAAGCTGGAGCTGAAGCTGCGCGGCCTCCCCGTGTCGGGAACTAAAACTGATCTGATCGAGCGGCTGAAGCCTTTCCAGGAGAACCACAACACCTCCGCTCCGAGCAACAACTCTATCTCCACCACCAACATGCAGATGGAGGTCAAAACCAGTGTCCTTTCTCCACACGAGAACATGAACCCAACATCGCCACTCTCGCCAATCCCCGCCGAGCGCTCCACCCAGGACGGAGGAAAACCTGAGACTCCGTCATTTGAAACGCACATGGTGACCTCCAACTGGACCCCCACCTTCCAGTCTTTCCAAATCCCCCAGGAGAAGGACAGGCGGCTGCACGAGAAGGAGCAGCAGATCGTGGAGCTGATGAAGAAGCTGGAGCAGGAGCAGAAGCTGGTGGAGGAGCTGAAGATGCAGCTGGAGGTGGAGAAGAGAGGCTGCTCCGCTGACTCTCCCACCGTCACCTCTCTACCTGCCGTGAATCTCCTGAACTCTAACGTGGTCAAAATGGAAGGAGCAGTGCTATCAAACTGTGCATCCACCACTGCTACCATCCCTAATCAGATCCTGGGCTCCACCTCTCTCTCTCCTCGGCCCACCGTGGTGAAGTTGGAGGATCTGACTGTTTCCTCTGGGAAGCCGATCCAGATTCAGACCCAGACGCAGCTCATCTCTCAGATCCAGCCCCAGATCACCAGCAGGAGTCCCAACATGCAGACCCAGCAGTTCTTCATCAGCCACCAGGGCAGGGTGGTGCCTCAGACGCTGCTGACCACCACCGGACAGGCGGGGACTCAGATCCTCCTCCCAGTGTCGCTGCCTAGCAACGCAACTGCCATCCAGCTGCCCGGCAACACCGTCAGCCTGCAGGTGAGCAGCAGTAAAGTCTTTATTGAGTGTTTTTTAAATGCCATTTTATAATATGTGTCTTAATGTGTTATATATGACTGTATATCGCAGGTTTTTAATTCATGGTTAAACAGTTACAATACTTATCCAAAAATAAATGGATGAACAGTTTAGATATTTAGCTTGAAGTTACGAATAGCATTTCAAATAGTAAGCTAAAATGAATGGATAAATAGTTAAAATGTTGAGCTTAACATACGTGGATAAAGAGTTCAAATCTAGGTAAATAAATAACGCATGAACATTTAAATATTCATCTAAAATTAATGGTTAAACATTTCAAATAGTAAGCTAAACTAATGAAAGTAGGTGAAATATGACGTTTTGCTGGGTGTCCCATGCATGCTAGAGGCGTTTCTTTATAACCAATCGGTTGTCAGCAGTGTTTTGACTCCACCTTCTAGTACTGGCTCAGCTTTTTCTAACTTTGATTGAGGTGGCACCAAAAAAGCACGATCCTAAAAGTACTAAAGTACCTAAAAATAGCTGGATGAGTTGAGCAGAGACCTAAACGCAGTGGAATTGCAGCATTAGATCACTGTTGGAGTGTGTGTTCCAGCTTTACGGCTTTACAAAGATGTGTAAACTCACAATTATGTTCTTCCATCCTCCCATGATCTCAGCCTGTTCTGCAGACCACAGTCCAGAATCCAGGCCTGGTGCACGCCTCGGGTCCTCAGCTGCAAACCACTAAGATGGAGGCGTCACCAAGGCAACAGTTAACCAACAACAACAACAACTCCCTGCTGCAGGTCAGAACCTCAAATAGCTGCATTCGTGTGAGAAATGTTGCTTTGTTTAACATTATGAAAGGTCATCAGATACAATTACTAGAGCCTGATAATAGAAAAAAAGTTAGCTAGTTAGCTAAAGTAGAAGTAACGCGTATAAAAAGACTTATTTTAAAGAGTTTAAACTCCCTCTTGTGCCTCGACAGACTCTGACGATGTGCAATAACTCTTCTGGTTTGGAGAACCAGACGAGGCCGGATCTGAGTCCCCAGAGTTTCCTGAGAAGCTCGCCCGACAACAGAGTCTCTCCACGGGCTTCCCCCAACAGCCACACCTCCAACGGACCCCTCAACAAGGTACCTTCAGTCTGTACTATAGCTGTATACTGTTGGTTGTTTTAATGATTTATTTTGAGACATTTGCCCATTGCTTAGACAATTTTCCACATTTTTCTATACAGCTTTTATTTGTATTTAGTTATTGTGCATATTTTATACTTGTTCACAATATTTTGTGTGGTTTTCTTAAATAAAGCTTAGATTTTTAATTCAGATATATTGTTTTTCTTTTTCACAATATCTCTTGTAATTAATTTTCCTTAAAACTTCCTCTTTTTTTCAAATATTTCTATAATATTTGTATTATAATTTTCTTTTTAGATCTCTTATGTTGAGATTTCTTGATATTTTTTTGTAGTTGCTTTTATTTTAAATGTAATCTGTTTGTGTGTTTTTTACAAGCAAATCCCTTTTATGTGAAAACACACAAAAGAAACAGATTCGGATTCTGCTTTTTGAGATAATTAACTATTTAATCCTAAAAAACCTCCTAATGTAACCAGTAGTTAGTTCAGGGTTCCCGCGGGGTCTTAAAACATTTAAAAAAGTCTTACATTTGATAATCAGAATTTAAGGCCTTAAAAAGTCTTAAATATGATTTTTTTTTTTTTTTTTTTTTTAAACCAAGAAAGGTCTTAAATAAGATTTAGAAGGTCTTAAAAATGATGGGATTCGAAAGGTACTTCTGTGTTGCGATCACGTCTAAATGTGTTTTGGGGGAAATGTCCGGTGCCTTTCAGTTCCCCCCAACAATTTGTATTGAAATAAATCAACATGGAACCAGTAATCACTAACTTTGTTTCCCCCGGCCCCTTATCGGAGAACACCCAGCTAGTAACCTAGCAGCCAAGCTTCAGCTTGTGACAGTCAGAAATTCAGGTGTCTTCGAATCCACTTGCAAATATGGGGAAGTGTAAGTTCAACCGTATTTGGTTGGAAAACATCGAATTTAGTGCTTAGTCGAAACCAGTGGAGGGGGACGTGTTTGAAGCACCTTTTGCAAACAAACGGTTAAACTTGCTTCAAACACGTCCCCCTCCACTGGTTTCGACTAAGCACTAAATTCGATGTTTTCCAACCAAATACGGTTGAANGGCCACATTCTCAACAAAGTAACGACATGACTCCCAATATTAATTTTAATGCTTTTATGGATTTAGAAAATGTTTTTATTGATTTAAAAAATAGTTGTATTGATTTAAACTGACATGCATCCGCTAAGAAAAATAGTCCGTTGTTACCGTTTTTTTAAACTAGTCTGAATGAAACGGCAGCTCTCAACTTTGTATTTACCAGGGTTCCTGCAGGTTTTGCCAACTCAAATGTAAGACTTTTTAAGACCTTTTTAAGACCACTTTGAATAGAATTTAAGACCTATTTCACGGCAAGAAAGTATGAAGGAAAATTGCTATGAAAGAAGAAATATGTCCCATAATTACTTACAAAGTAAATTAATTCATGTTCAACATAAGAACATGACTGAACATAACAGCATACAAAACTGTGTCCTCACACACACATCTAGAGTATATATATATATATGTGTGTGTGTGTAAGTGTGTATGTGTGTGTGTCTGTGTTCGGGCTGTGCAATTAATCGTATTTTAATCGCAATTACGATTTTGGCCTGCCACAAATACGAAAACAACATAATCGAAAAACGATAATTTAGCTTTGCTAGGTTGTGACAGTGCACTGCAACATACTTGATCTAATTAATTTAAGTCTAATTTATTTTTATTTATCATATTTATATATGTTTAGTAGCTTGTGGAAGTGCGCTCCAAAATATTTATGGATCTTGTTTATTGGTATTTATTATTTTGATATTATCATTTATTTTATTTATTTTTCTATAGGTTTTTCCGTTGAATTATACGTTCAGGGTAACCAACAGTTAAAAAGATACAGTTCAAATTGTTTTAAAGTTCAATAAATGGATGTTTTCAAATTCAATGAATAATCATATTTAATAATCGTGATATCAATTATTGACCAAAATAATCGTGATTTCTAACATGATTTTTGCCATAATCGAGCAGCCCGTGTGTGTGTGTGCGTGTGTGTGAGTCAAGAGCTATATTCAGAGCTATATTCAGAGCTCTGCTGCCGTGGTTAAAATCTTTCATCGTTGCTGTTGTATGATTGGTGTTTAACTACGGTATTTAGCGTCGCCATATAGGTCCACAGCACCTAAGCTTTTAGGGTTGACGTCGCACGGTGTTGTTGCGGGAGCTGCTACACTAGATAACGCTGCACTAGCTAATGCTACATTAGCAAAACAAACACTAATTTATTTT